TTCAAAATTTCCGGAAATTTTACATCTCTCGTTTGACCCGAGTCCAGTTGGGTTTGGGCAGTGACTGGCACAGTGGCACGGGTTGTGGGGGCCACTGCGCACTGGTTCTGCTGCTGGGCTGGCTGGCAAATCATTCCTCCTATGCTGCAGCGGTCCTCTGGTTGTCTGACCCGAGTATTTTTTGGACGTAAGCTGACAGGAGACAGAGGCTGCTTGCTTTGCTTAGTGCATGAAGCATCACCTTGTGTGCTACTTAGAGGTGACACTTCATGCATCAGATAAAGTGGGTCGCGTTCACACCAAGCCACGGTTTTTGACCAAATCACTGTTTAAGGAATGTGCAGGGGGTTGGACTAGATGACCCTGGAGGTCCCTTCCGACAGCCGCAGAGATGTCAAGGTTGCGAGGGCCGGTTGGCACAGGTTGTGGGGGCACCGTGCACTGATTCTGCTGCTGGCCTGGCTGGCAAAACAATCATCTTACGCTGCAGAGGGCCTCTGTCTGATCTGACCCGAGTATTTTTTTTGGACATAAGCTGACAGGAGACAGAGGCTGCTTGCTTAGCTGGATGACCGAAGAGCCACAAGATGTGACACTTTGGGCATCAGACGAAGTGGGCTGTGAAGTGGGTTTGGGCAGTGACTGGCACAGTGTCAGGGTTGTGGGGGGTGGGCAGATTGCTCTGGTTCTGCTGCTGGCTTGGCTCAGGCTGGTAATGTAAACATGCTCCCTTAGTTTATGTATGCTGCAGAATGATGCAGAGATTCTCTGGTCTGAACTGAGTCGACTTGGGTTTTGGGCAGTGACTGGCACAGTGGCACTGGTTCTGGGGGGCACATCGCACAGGTTATGTTGCTGGCCTGGCAAACATGCCCCCTCTCACCACCACCACACACCTCACTTAGTTTCTTACAGGGAGATCTGCTTGCCTTTTCCCCATCCCCAATTTCCCATAGGAAACAACGGAGAACTGGGGGCACCCTCTTTGGATGCCCCTGGAATTGGACCCCCTGGTCCAAACTTTTCAAAGCTTTTGGGGTCTTTTGGGGAGAGGCTCCAGCAGCTACAGTCCAAATTTGGAGCCTCTACCTCAAATCCCCTCCCCCCCCAGCCCCCTGCAAACGTTTCAGAAGATTTTCGCCATTGCCTTCAATGGCCCCGGTATTTACCGGTATATTCAGTTTTTTTTCGGGTTTCTCAAAAAAATTCGAGTTCAATATATTCAAATCCTACCGAATTATTATTTTTTTTTACACACCCCTAATTTGGATACAGTGGTCAAGGGGCAAAGAATAGATGGAGATTTATAGTGGTACGGATGAGTAAATGGTGGCTATGCTAGCTGAAGAGAAAACCTTGCTGGGTGCAGAAACCCAATCCCGAAAGTCCCCCCCCCCAAAGCCGTTTCAGAGATGACCTCTAACACAGGAAGCAGTCTGAGTTACTTCTTGTGAACACATGGTTCAGTACTGTTAAACAAAGCCAAAAAAGCAAGCATGAAAAAATAACGGTGAAAACATCAAATGATACTCAACGTCTAATTCATGTAAAGAGTTCCATATATATTAACGTTCATACAAATACATGTATTCCATTCATTCACATACAGTGTCAAAAATTCCAAATAACATTCCAAGAAACACTTTACAATTGGTGAATTACTTTCAAATCCAGGTTATAAAGCCAAGGAAGCGCGTACTGCAGTATATACTATATATGAATGAATGGAATACATGTATTTGTATGAACTTTAATATCTACGGAATTCTTTACATGGATTAGATGTTGAATACTATTTAATGTTTAATCTTCTTTCTGCGATTCCCTCTGTATTGCTACCTTCTTGATAATTCAGGGGGTCTGCGGGCTCTAAAGGCACGGGGGGGGTGTCTTCCCCAATACCTGCTCCCCAAGAGCTTTCACTGGAGATACTGGGGGTTGAACCGGTGGCCTTCTGTGTGCAAAGCAGCTGCTCTGCCCATGAGCCACACCCGCACACCACAGCACACAATCCACAAGGGCAAACAAGATCGCATTTGCCAGTTGTCAGGCCGCCCTATTCCAGTGTGTACTAGGAGACATCCTCGGCTTGGGTGAGCTGAGACGCTCATCTGGTTCTCTTTCCTCCCCTCGATCTCCAGGTGGGCAGCAAGGGCCTGGGCGACTGCCTCCACTCCGTCGTGCCGGAACTCCTGATCCCGATGGAAACGATCAAATACCTCTGCAAGGCGGAGGAATGCTTGCGCCCCTGGGAATTCCTAGAAATGTACGGCAACCCTCTGCAGCCTATCATGGATTCAGGTACCAGATTTTCCCCTCCTGGAAAGCGTGGCCGGTCTGTATGCCCTGAATAAATGTTTTTTTCCCAGGGAAGCAGGAACAGTAGGTTCATCGCTCCTGCCTTCCAGATGGGCTAAGGAGAGGCCTCTTCGAGCCCAGGAAATTTGCACCAAACAAGCAGAACGTTTTGGGACAGCAATAAAATTTGGTTCTTCGATGTGTGAAAAGATTATAATTCAGGGTGGAGAAGGGGTGGGAAAGAAAGAAGAAGAAGAGAAGAGACTGGATTTATACCCCACCCTTCACTACCCAAAGGAGTCTCAGAGTGGCTCACAAACTCCTTTCCCTTCCTCTCCCCACAACAGGCACCCTGTGAGGTAGGTGGGGCTGAGAGAACTCTGACAGAAACTGCTCTTTTTCAAGAACAATGGCTTGCGCAAAGGTCATTCAGCAGGTGGAAGTGGAGGAGTGGGGAATCAAACCCAGTTCTCCCAGATTAGAGTCCGCGCTCCTAACCACTACACCATACTGGCACAACCTCTGCCAACAGGGAACAGTGTTCCCTCTAAGCTGAGTTAGTGTGAGCTAGCACAGTTTTTTAGCCTCCGGCTCTCCCATTTTTGTCTTAGCTCAGGAAGGAGGGCTCCAGAGCAAACTAATTCATGCAGTAGGCAAATCGCTGGCTCACAACTGTAATGTTTAAGGATTTTTTGCTCACAAGACTCCACAGCTTAGAGGGAACATTGGCAGGGAAGCTATTTTTGTAGTGCACAAAAGGCACAGGATGAAGAGGATGTTTGGTCTTCCTTGCAGAATCCGTGTGGCCCACTCCTGCTCATCTGTTTGCATGAGACCCTCCCCGACTCCCTGCCTGGGCTTCCACCGGTGGACGTCATGAGACCACCACGGAATCAACAGCGGATGGACGGCTGGGCATCCCTTAAGCCCCTCTTTCAGCCACCCTGAGGAAGGCTTGATCAATAAAGAAGTCCTCAACACTCGGGTGTTGCCTGTTGTGCTATGTGGTTGGTGTTGATGTGCACACAGGCACCAGCTACAAGACAGGTCGAGAGGGCAGGCCTGTAGCTACACAGTGGGGCTTTTGGGGGTCTCTGCCCCCTTTCTTAAAGGCACAGCCCCACAAGTATTTCTCCTATGCATGCTTTTTCAGTCCTTTTAAAACATTTTTTTAAAAGGCGTGCGCTCCATTTAAGCAGAGTGGGGTGCTGTAGTTGACTAATTCCCGCATTGAGCAAGGGGGTTGGAGTAGGTGGCCTCTAGGATCCCTTCTAACTCTGTGTCAAGAAACTGGTCTCCTTTGAGAGAGTTTTTCTGCCTAAGCGTTAGCTCTCTTGACCATAGAAGTCCTCACCCCCCACCTGCTAGCTTGTTCACAGAATTGCTGCTTAGGCTGGTAGAAGGGATTAACTTGCAGCAGCTGAGAACTGTCATCTCAAGTGGTTGACAGCTTGCTATTTAGAGATCTGACCTGGTACCAGCTTTCTATTGGCTAAATGGCTTTTCTTTCTGTACTGAGAACTTCAGCCCTACAAGCCACAAAATCCTGGCTACGGGCCTGCAAGAGGGCATGTGCTTTTTTGGGGGGGGGGGCCTGCCCCACAAAAATGGTCTCCGCTGGCACATGCACTCTTATTCTTCACCCTCCCACTCTCTCAAAACCAAAGCAACTGAAATACATGAAGGGTTTCTGTGTGAACATGCTTTAAATGAATATTTTAAATGAGCTGTTAAAAAGCACAGAAATACTGAATGGAGCCCAACTTATGCTAAAAGAGACTCAAGTGAGAAGCAGTTCTGGCCCCGGCAGAGTCTAGCCAGAAGGCAGCCACTTCGCTGACACTCCAAGTTATTTTTATTATTTTGATCGGACCGCAGTGCAGTTCGGAAAGCGAGTGAGCATCAATCACCTTTTAGCAACAAAAAAAATTTTTTTTTACTCAGTTTAATTCCAAAAAAAGGGGGGGGGGGGAGATATTCAAGATCACTTTCAAAGTTCAACCCATTTTATATCAACTGAAAGCAAAAAACACTTTTTCGCCCGCAAAGTTTTTAGCTGGACAGCAGCTGACGTGGGGTTTTTTACAGAAACCAAAAGCAGGGATGGTTAATACAAATAACTACGAAAAACAAAAAAAGAGTAAATAAACAATCAATACTTAAAAAGAGTAGCACTGAAATGGTTAGAGAGAAGACAGTACGTTTCCTCCTGACAGTCCATCAAGGCACAAGGATACATCCACAGGTTGGAGCGGTGGCCGAGACCCAGCGGCCACCTCCGGCCCCCATGTGGCCTTTGTTTTTTTGGTTCATACTTTTAAACAAAAAAAAAGTCTGCAGCATGTCAGAGAGAAGGACCCTTGCAAGCCATCTCCTCGGGAAGAGCAAAGAGTTAGGGGGAGAGTCCCAACAGAGGCCTTGGAGGAGATTATTTTCCCATTATTACATGCATCACTTTGGATTCTCAATTTGGAATTTCTCGGCAAGATGCTTTGCCTCTTGGTTAACAGCAGCAATTAAGCTTCGGAAACAGACAGGTCCATTCCATCCACAGTTTGACACTTTTTTCTTTTGGTCAAGACGCAGGTCACTGAAACGCTCCCCGTCTTCGCCGGAGATGCAAGCGGAGAAAGCAGGACAGTGTCTCTGTCCCCCCCCCCGCTCTCTCTCGCTCTGTCTTCTTAACGGGAAGCTTCTCGCTGGTCTTGACTGGTTTTGGTTCCCACTGGGATAGGAAGGGGCCGTGCGCCGGAGTGGTTCTACTGTTTTTTTTTTACAGAGCAGTGCTTTCAGTGTCGTGATCGATGTCGAGCACAAGGTGGTTGTGAGAACTCTGACCTGGTAAAACGGCGGACTCCGTCGAGGACGGCTCTGCGGCAGGGAGGCCCCGCGGTGGCGGCTCTTGGACACTGGGAGCGGACTCTGCACCAAGGAGACACTCGTTAGCACGCACGAGTGGAAAAGGGCATTTCCTTATAAAACACGCAGAAGCAGACAGCTCTCCCCACTACCCCAGTTCCAGGACATCAAATACACTGTGCGAGTTAAAACATTTTGCTTAATTCTTTTAAAGCTCTGCAGAGTATCAAAGCTCCCCTGTGTGAAGCTTCCCTCCCGCCCCCAGGACGGCAAAGCTCAGCTTCAAGCTAGTGAGGCTGGAGGCAAGACCTTTGGGGGAAAGAGCCTGGAATCAGATTGGTAAGATTTTTGCCCTGACTCCATATTTTGAATTTGGGCAAAGCAGTCTTTAAGCAGCGATTGGACAAACACTTGTCAGGGATACTCTAGACCAGTGGTTCTCAACCTTCCTAATGCCGCGACCCTTTAATACAGTAAGTTCCTCCTGTTGTGGTGACCCCCAACCATGAAATTATTTTCATTGCTATCATAAGACCATCAAAAATGTGTGTTTTCCAATGGTCTTAGGCGACCCCTGTGAAAGGGTCGTTCAACCCCCAAAGGGCTCACGACCCACAGGTTGAGAACCGCTGCTCTAGACTAATCCTGCAGTGAGCAGGGGGCTGGACTAGATGGCCTTTTTGGCCCCTTCCAGCTCTGTGATTCTAGGATTCTAAGTCACAGCTCCTGGGAGACGCGGGAAAGCCCGGAAAAGGGAAAAAACAGGGACACAGTTACATGTACACTTTTTCCAGTGGAAAAACTGAAAATCTGGGGGGGAAACTGGAGGGAAAAACCCTCCTTAAGAAGCATTCTCTCTCAAATGGTGTTCAGCGTTTTGAAACACCATTTTAGTTACCCTTTTATTGCTTCAAAAATTCTAAACATAGAAGGTGAACATAGTTAAGTAATAATTCTTGTATAACAGAGATACGCAAAACTGCCAAGTTCTCTCTCTCCTGCTACAGATTCCTCCACCGTGTGAAAGGGGGAGGTTTGTGCTTAGAAACGCACACACCAAATAAAAGAAACCGGTTTGTATGTCCTTAAAGCCATGAAAATCATCCAGCTCTCTGAAGAGACCAGTTTATATGTGAAAAGGTCTTCGGTCCTTACAAAAAAAACCATCCAGCTTTCTGAATGCTGTGGAGATCGTGATAAAAATCAGAAAAAGGGGAGCTACTGGTCTTTCGGAAACTAGTTCTGCTTAAAGAAGAACAAAGTTTGAGCCCAGTGGCACCTTTAAGACCAACAAAACTTTTACTCAAGGTGTAAGCTTGTGTGCATGAATCAATAAAACCTCGTATAATACTTTGCTGGCCTTAAAAGGTGCCCCTGGACTCAAACTTTATTCTGCTGCTTCAGACCAACACGGCTACCCACCTGAAATCTGGTTAAAGAAATTTGAGCTACGGAGTTATCTCCAAGGATCTATTTATTGTTTAAAAGGTTTCATGCAGGGAACTGAGACTGCACTCGCTACGGCATTTACTGCGTGATGATATAGATGTTATTCTAAAGCTTAACTTCCATGGAGATAGATCAAGACGGGTAGCCGTGTCAGTCTGTTTGTGGCAGTGGAAAAGAGCAAGAGTCCACTTAGTCTTTAAGGTGCTACTGGACTCTTGCTCTTTTCTAAGGCTTAACTAAATATCTTGAGCCCGGAATAGTGTGATCTGTTATGTTGGAAGCAGCCTGGAAGACTGCTCCTTGCTTGGGTACCCCACACCAACCCCACTGTAGCTTCTGGTAAAAGAGGCTTCATACTGTTCCTGGATAAATGCTACCTTACCCAGAGAAGAGACTGTGTCTTGTAAGCAGTGTTCCCTCTAAGCTGAGTTAGTGTGAGCTAGCTCACAGTTTTTTAGCCTCCAGCTCACACATCTTTGCCTTAGCTCAGGAAGGAGGGCTCCAGAGCAAATTAGTTTATGCAGTAGCCGGATCGCTTGCTCACAACTTTAGTGCCAGTAGCTCAGAAAGTAAGAGTTTTTGCTCACAAGACTCCACAACGTAAGAGGGAGCATTGCTTGTAAGTCCTGATAATGTTCTGACGTTGCTGCAGTGTTGATGCTTGTTTATTTTTTACCTCTTACCCCCTGTTTTCCCCAACTGGCACCACAAATTAAGACGCGCTTAAGGATGCAGACGGCTGCTCCCATCTCAAACGCTGGAGATATATACTTGCAATTGTTTGAAGGCAACTAAATCACAGCGATACCAAAAGTCACACATTGGATCTTCTTACAGCAGCAAACTTTAGATTAGATAAGAAAATAAAGTTGTCTATTTCTTTAATTTAATTTTTTCGATTCCCCCCAAATTCCTTTCATTTCCTGGCAAAACAGCCTTCCACCCAGCCAACGGCTAGCTTGGCTTTAGAAATCTCTTACTCTTCGGCATGCCGCGGAACACAGCCGGGGCACCTTTAAAACCCACAAAGTTTAATTCTGGATATAAGCTTCCGTGTGCATGCACACTTCTTCCAATACGATTCCTTTTGGGCATGCAGTAGACAAGGGAAGTTTACTGAACAGCATTTTGTCCACATCGCTTGGAGAAACCAAACTGCCTGAGGCTGGACAGATAACTGTGCTCTGAATTCCCTATTAATGCCATCTCAGGTGCGGTCGGAGGAACGCCTGCTACTTCCCCCTTAGAAGAACTCTACCGGGGCCTTGGAGCAGGCCTCGACAAGCTCAGACACCGGGACACGCGTGTGCTTCATTCACAGAGCAAGCTGCTTGTGCTCCGCCAGAACTGGTGAAGAGGCCGATGCAAAGACTCCCCCACAAAACTAGCAGGTCTGTCTCCCCATGGAAGTGACTGGAGTGGGAACTGCCAGGGTGCCCCTGGGCTATGGCAAACCATTTCTTAGGGGTCTGCTACTCAGTGCATCCAAACACCCCCCCCACACACACACACAACATAAACTAGAATCTAATTCTGTGTGGCAGAGAACAGAACGTTTGAACACATCAGCAACCAACAGCTTCCTTTCCTGCCACGGTTAAAAAGTTGGAAGCTGATCAACGCATTTCACGGCCGAGCCGGTTCTCTAACATGGTGTGTGGCCAGTCTTTGCTCCCCCTCCAGCAAATCCGCTGTGCGGATTCAGACTCCAGACGCTGCAGGGAGTGGTTGTGTGCACCACTCCAACGGCTGCCTCCGTCCGCCGCCTGTGGGGGGGGGGGGACCCTGCACTCTCGCAAGGGGGTGGAGCGCAAGAAGGCGGCCTCCTAGAACCAGACGCTGCTGCCTACTCCACAGCCGCGGGAAAGCCTCTCAGCTGACCCCCGTCCTCCAGAGACGCAAACGTCCGTGCCATCAGCTGAGTGGCGCTTCCCACCAGCACGTGGGAAAACCACAGGGGGTGACAACCACCCCCTCAAGGACTTTGGGTGCCTCTCCAGGGACCGAGCTGGACAGAATCATCACAACTCAAGATTTTGACCCACACCTACCAATCTTCTCTGAGCAGTCCAAAGGGCTGGCCCGCTCACCTTCCCTCCGCCTGCTCCGCCTTCAACCCTTGCTGAGGGCAAAGGTTGTACATGAGTCGGCCTCCACACGCTGTGCTGTGCTCCATGCTAGCGGATGGAGCACATCAGGTCACCGCCACAGGCCTAGGCAGGGCACCCCCAGCCAGGGAGCATACAGAACAGTGCCTGGGGCTTTGGGCCGAAGTGTTCAAGACTTCCCATTTATACAAGCAACCTCTTCCCTGTTCTTTTTTGTTGTTGTTCAGTCGCTCAGTCGAGTCCGACTCTTTGCGACCCCATGGACCAGATCACGCCAGGCCTTCCGGTCTTCCGCCGTCTTCTGAAGTTGGCTCAATTTCATGTTCGTTGCATCTATAACACTGTCTAACCATCTCATCCTTTGCTGTCCCCGTCTTCTTTGACCTTCAATCTTTCCCAGCATCAGGGTCTTCTCCAGTGAGTGCTCCCTTCTAATTGGGTGGCCCAAGTATTTGAGCTTCAGTTTCATTATCTGGCCTTCCAGGGAACAGTCAGGGTTGATTTCTTTTAGGATTCACTGATTTGATCTCCTTGCAGTCCAAGGGACTCTCAAGAGTCTTCTCCAGCACCATAGTTCAAAAGAATCTATTCTTCGGCACTCGGCCTTCCTTATAGTCCAACTCTCGCAGCCATACGTGACTACTGGGAATACCTTAAAAATGGAGCACTGTCCTGCTCTGTCCTAGCCACAAATAACAAATATATATACTACAAAAACCTTTTTTTTGTAAATTCATGTGTTCTATTTGTTAACTACCATCTTATAAAGTGCATTGGGTGCTATTCTAATATCCTAAAACAGGTATATATATTCATTACATACAATATATGTATACCTGTTTTAGGATATTAGAATAGCACCCAATGCACTTTATAAGATGGTAGTTAACAAATAGAACACATGAATTTACAAAAAAAGGTTTTTGCAGTGTATATGTTTGACTCTTCTAACACTGCAGCTCGGATTGCGACAACTGTCCTAGCCACAGACATATTTCCAGTGCTCTCGGTGGAACTGTTGGGCTGCACCTTTGTCTTTTCAGTTGAGAAGCTTCACGCCCCCTCCTCTCCCCCCCCCAGTGAAGGAAGAAAAGGGGCTGTGAGAGAGGACGAGGGTCCAGAGGTTTTAACAAATTCATTCCGCAGGCCAGGGTGGGCGGAGCAAACCCCAAATGCCATAAGAAGAGGCTGGGAAGGGGGCGGGACCCTCGAATGCATTCACAGCGAGCATGTTAAAAACTGAGAAGGAGCACATGGAAGACGCATCCCTCCTCTGGCATGCCGGATTAGTCCAAGTGCAAGCAAGCCGGTGTTAACGGGTGACCGGGTTAGTAAGGGGCAAAGCGGGCATCCATGATTTTGCAGTTGCAACATTTCCGGCCAATCAAGAGGCCTCGTTTTCTTCTTACCCTTATTCCACTCCCAGTTCCTACTGAACAATGCAGGTCAAACATCTAGATTGTTTAATAAAACCCTCAATTAGAACACTCTTTGCGCGTGAGCTGCGTTATACAACCTAGAGAGGATTCAAAGGGTTATTTTCATTGCAGCGCGAGAATACCTTCCTCCCGATCCCCGTCAGATTTAGGAGGGGAGCTGCAGCCAATGGGGTTAGGGGCCCCCACTGCCGAATTAATAGGAGAGGCCATGCGCTCCTTCAGCTGATGGGGAGGCCGGGGGGGGGGCTGTTCCAAATTAAAGCATAATTAAGAAGCACCCATTCCAGATTAAAAATTAGCAGAGGAATCAGCCGATGGACATGGATTCAACTGTCGCCCAGACATTTAACAGGTGCAAGGGACCGCAACCCAAGCGCAGAAAGGCCGTGAGGCACCGTCTCCCTCTTCTCCAGCGATTCCTGCTCCTGCAGAACTCCTGAGCTCCAGCCTTCGGTTCAAGGCCAAAGCTGCTTGCTAGAAATTCTCCAAGTCTGTCACAGTCCAAATGAGTGACTTGCAGGTAGTAAGAAAAACAAACAAGTATGGGTTTTTCTGCCCATTTGTGAGCCTGGCCCTGCTGGCAGTGCTCCCTCTAAGCTGAATTAGTGTGAGCTAGCTCACAGTTTTTAAGCCTCCAGCTCACAGACTTTTGTCCCAGTTCAGGAAGGATGCCTCCAGAGCAGTGTTCCCTCTAAGCTGAGATAGGGTGAGCTAGCTCACAGGTTTTTAGCCTCCAGCTCACACATTTTTGTCTGAACTCAGGAAGGATGGCTCCAGAGCAAACTAATTCATGCAGTAGCCAAATTGCTCGGTCACAACTTTAATGCCATCAGCTCACAAAGTAGAACTTTTGCTCACAAGGCTCCATAGCTTAGAGGGAGCATTGCCTGGCAGAGCAGTTATGCTGTTACGGAATGTTCACAAACATTCCAAATGCTGGGAGGCGAGAGTCAAGTCCCAGGATGCCCGACCGTCAGTACACGGGATGGAATGGAAGCACAGTTTGGACGGTGGATAAATCCCAATACTGTGCACAAGGACAGGCTGTGGTACTGGTGGAAGGGATGGAGAGAAGTGGAGAGTGTTGTGAACGCACCCACACCCACACACAACACCCGAGAGCCAAACACACAAATCTGAGGAGCACCGATTAGAAGACTTCCCAGTTTGAGAGGAGTGGAAGCCAGTGTTTCCAAATGAGGAGGTAGTTCTTGAAGGGTGGCAATCTATGCTGGGATTGAGATGGGACTAATAATTAAATGCACAACGAATTCTGAATCTTCCGTCTCTTCTATATATCAGCCCAGCATTTTTGCCATTACATCCCAAGTCTTTCTCTCTCTCTCTCTCATTCTCTGAGACTTCAAAGCAGGCTGCTTCTGAAGGCGGAACACGCTGCCTGCTCCTGAGGTCCAAAGTCGTCTACGGAGGAAGCTTACCCAGAGACAGAGCTGAGTCTATGGTTCACCTGCGATCCGCAATGAATTGCCACAAATGGGCAAAAAGGGCCCTCCTTCCCCTGCCACACCTGGAAGCTGGGGAGGGGGCTGCCTTCCACGAGACTGACTCAGGTCACAGCCCCC